CGCCGGCGGCAGAACTCTGGCAGGCGCGTGAGGGCGCATGGGTGAGTGTTTTCAGGTAGTTTTTTTTCTGGGGTTGGTTCGCCTATCTCTTGGGAACCTTTTGGTGTTGTTTGATTTCGCACGTCACTGATAATTAGTGACTTTGATGCAAATAGTCACTTAGGTCACCGAAAAATCTAACGGTGACTGAGTTCTTTCTTCCTGGATGTCACTGGAATGACACAACAATCTATTCTCACCAAAGCTCTGATACCATGTGAGAAAGCACGGGAAAAAATATTATTGATTAATGTTCAATGTTACAATAAACCCTGTTTATATGTATACATAACACATAACCTACTCTTGTTACATAAGGGACTAGGACTAATTACATACATTCACATAACTATTCTAACAGAAAGTAATTAGAAGGATGGAGTGATGGATCAAGTGGCTTCTTGTAGCATAGCACTATGGTCTCATATCTGAGGAAGCTTCACTCAGATGTGTGGGTTTATTCCTATTATCATTTCCTAAACTTGAAGTGTTTAAAATTAGTGCATCTTTGGTCCTTCAATTTTGTAGATAATTCGTAAGTTATTTCAGAATTACTAATGTCTTCTTTTTGTCATGTCATTGAATTACTAATTCCCTTTGCTCCAAAGGGCTTCCACATACTCTGTACTTTTCGAGACAAAAATACTTTTACCTCATTGGTTAACAAAGAACTTCTATAAAGCACTTCTTCTTAAGTAATTTTAAAAGCAAAAAAGTTTTCCTAGAAGAGTGTATTAAAGATCTAGGATTAAAGAAAGAAAAGGACAAACACCAACTCTAATTTCATCGCATTTGGAGTTCAACATGTGTTTGATATATTGTAGGATAAATTTGAGAGTGATGACATGGATATTCATCGCAATCATATCTTGGGATGGATGAAAGAATTATGGAACAAATGGAGAGGACAATTGCATGCAATGTATGTGAAGGGTAAGCCAGTCCAAGAGGCTCTTAAGAATATGCCAAAGGGGATAGACAAGAAACAATGAGAGTGGTTGGTAACCAAACATTTTTCTACCGAAAGTTTTCAGGTTTGACATAAGACCTAGTTATGCAATTTCATTGACATACTGCTCCTATTATCTTTTAATCGAGAATTTATTTATGACATATAAACTAAATGTTGTTATGCTAGGCGAGAAGCAATAGGAACGCAGCAAATAGAGCTAAGTTGAAGATGCCTCATCATATTGGTAGCAAGCCAATTAGAGAGATTATTTATCAAAAGGTGTTACCATAAGATCTCAGTTCTTTTTTTTTTTTAAAAAAAAATATTGGTGAGGCGTTATTTGACATGTTTACTTTGATATAAAGGGCGGAAAAGATGGCAAACCACCAGATTTGGCAACTATTTTCTTTGAGACTCGCAAGAAGAATAACACGCTTGTTGATTCTGAAACAATCGAAAAACATGTGCGTGTTGTTAATTGGACATGTTACTTTTAGTTATTATGGGTTCTGACAGAAATCTCTCAATATATTTTGTAGGCTCAAATCCAAGAATTGGTGCAGTCTGAACCGTCTCTTCCTAGCATAGAGCTTGTAGAAAAATGCTTTGGACCTCAAATTCGCAGCCATGTATTTGGATTTGGGGGTGGAGTAAAGGCGAAAGACTTGAAAGGGGGCACTTCCTCAAATGCTGAATTACGGTCTGAGCTATGTTCAACACGAGAGGAAAACCAATCTTTGAAAGATTGCTTGTCTACCATCGAAAATGATGTGAAAGAACTGAAGCAGCTAAAAGAATTGTTATTAGCTCAACACTCCAATGTCCAGCCTCCGACATTACTTATTTCAGGAGAATGATAATTTGTTTGATGAACATACCAAGTTAGTAACAACTTACCCATAACGTCAATATATTTGCATGCTTGGTTAATTTTTGAAGTATGACGCATACTCGCTGGCTTCAAAAAATGTGTTTACCATGCCCGCCTGAAATGTCTTCTTCAATTATACATTTGCTTAATTTTAGAAACTTTTTAAGTGTTATATTTGGCATAGTTGATGTTTTATCAGTGATCGTGGAGACCTTATGCTGTTAAGACTTAAGAGTCAACTAGAAGTGACTGATGTTATTTTTTTCTTCAAGAAGTGTAGTACACTTATCTACCAGACTACCACTGACTTTTTGTGATATAATAGTTTAAATATTTTAGTTTGTAAACTAAATCTAATGAAAGACATAAACTTGTCATGTAGGTCGTTGGAATTGTTTGGTTTTATCAATTGTGAATATGAAGGCATATTTGTCTTAAAAACCTTAGCAAGTTAGGATGTAAAAATACAGAATTGCAAACACCACACTGGAAGAAGACAAGAGGGTGAACCAACAGAAAAAGAACTTATTGCCAAAGAACTGGAAAGCGGGTAAAACTAGGCAGAGAGCTTAGAAGCTTTCAGAACGGAAGTTTGCTTGATCAAATTCTGAATATCCAGCAGTATCTAGCCATATCCATGGATCCATCCGTGGCAATTATTGGAGCTGTCATCTACTGTATCCTACCAAAGGTCTATGCTATTAATCTTGTGTCAGGAAAGAAAATGTATGTGGGTTTAGAATGGTTGTGGAGGAATTTGCCAATTAGACTGATCGCATCTTAGTTTTGGCTTCCTCTTGGATGAGGATTTTGGATCTCTCCAAACTCTTCATATTCATGTACAAGGGGTTGGAAATTTGCCCCTTTTCAGATCTGCATATCTTGAAACTTTTGCAACTACCCAAGAGTAGAACGAAGCACAAGAAACCAACCTGCAAGCCGCAAATTAAACTAAAGTTCTGGATTATAATCGGATCATGAGTTGAGTAAACTGCTTAAGGGCATTCACCTGCTGCTCAGAACTGTTCGAGTTAGTCCATTTAGTTGTTCTTTCTTCTTTTTTTTTTTTCTTTCCTTTTTTTAAGTTTTGAGTATTTGGTTCAACACCAAATTGAGTGAAACTTGAACCTATCAGTTGTAAAAGGGGAATTCACACTTAGTCTTTCATGTTTATCTACTTCTATCCATATGAGTAGGATAAATGTGAGTAATTAACCTATTGCTGTAAATTTTTTTTATTTTTTTATTTTTTATGTTCTTCTCTTGCCCTTGAACTTCCATTATTAACAGATTAGCACCGGAATACTTGTTATTAAGGTCTACTTGATTTCTTTCTTTATTTTTTGAGATATTGGGTCCTCATGGTCAACAATTCACAATTTACAAAAGTAGTCCAGCCCACAGCTAGATAGGGACATAGTATAGAAGTGGTTATAAGTACCTACTTTATGATCAAAGATAAGGAATTAACTAATTTAATTATCACAAATATTAAAAATAATTGAAGTTAAACAAAAAGGGAAGACAGCTCTTCATACAAAAGTAAAGTTCTAAATGGTGAGACTGAAAACAATCGTAATCAGTACTATACCTTTCGAGTCTTCTGTCATACAATTGTTGTAGTACTACTATCTTTTAAAATAGTAGTACTACTTAACAAAGATATGGTAGCATCTAAGAAGATTATCTTGCTTTAATACAAGCCACGAAAATATTACTTAAACTTAAACTTGATTCCCAAATTGATTCTGTCTGTTGTATCATACGACGTACACCGAATGTGATCATTGGTCCATCTTAACTTTTAGCGAAGAGGATTATCCTGGAGCAATTTCTCCAATTCAACAAGCCTCAATGGGATTAGCTATAGCGTAGGAAGCATCAGCAAGTTTTTTATTTCTTACTAGGGTTCTCAGAGATAGTTAGAAAATGAGTAGTAAACACTAGATATCTCATCCCGATATAGATTAAGTCTCTGAGTGATTTTGTGTAGATGAAGAAATATATATTTGTAATAAAGTGCCTTTTTCCTCTGGGTGATGGTGGTTCGTGCATAGCGTGGGAGAGGAAAGTGTAAAAAAACTTTCTTTTGTAATAAAGTGACTTTTTTTTAATAACCATGGTGTGTCAGCTTTCACCCACCTCAATTAATTCGACGATCTCCCACCAACACAAGTACCGATAATTCTATCCACCAAGGCTTGGACAGATGGGAAGAAATCAGTAACAAAGTAACTTTCTCATAGAAAAGTTATTGGGTGATGGTGTTTGTGGAGATATAGTAGGAGAGTGTAAGGTAGAAGTATTAAAGGACTTTTGGTAGGATTGAAACCTTGCACCTAAGTGGTACAAGATGAAATTGCAACTACTGAGTTGCAAACTTCAAGATCTTCTTAATGAAGTTTCTTCTTGAAACACTGTAGTTCACTATAATTTTTAACTAATTTTGATTTCTTTCATTTCACTGGTTATTTACATATCATATTTGAATCTTTAGATTTAAATGTACACTTACAAGTTACAGTCCATACTCAAAGTTTAAAGAGGAAAGGCAAATAGGCACACTGAAGAAGAGGTGACATGTCTTATATTTTAGAATTGCAAGTAGTTTTTGCAAAAAATTGTCGGCACTTCAACATTAGTAATATCTTCAATCAGCTCTAATGCAGACAGCTTCAGTTTCTTTCCTTATGTACCAGCAAGTCTCAGTTCATCTCAAGTAGGACTCAAGTCTCAACCCTGTAAAATCACAGTCACCCTTTCAATAGTCTCTTTCTGCTTTGGTTCTCTCTTGTAAGTGACAATAGGAATCCCTGCTTCCCTTCTAATTCTATTCGCACTGCCGCAACTTCTGTCCAAGTTACAAAACCAAGAGGCGAATTGCATTTTAAAATTTTGTTGGATCTACTAAATAACTGTATGGAGTTAGGTTTGGCAATTGGCAAGTGAAGTGAAGGATGGGCAATTGAGGCATTGAGCAGTTATTTTTGTGTGCTGTATGTGGTGATGAGCAATATTTTTGGACTGCTGTCCCCTGTGGACTGTGCATGTTCGATGGGCATTGAGCAGTTTTCTTTTTGTTAAGTTGGTGAATTACAATTGATATTTGGCATGGCATGTGCATTATCTTCTTTTCTTTGCTTTAATTTTCCTTGGATACAGTGGGATGTTATAGCAGCCATTCATTAAGTACTGTCTACAAAATTTTCCCCTCTTTTCCGAGTATGTCAAGGATTTCAATGCAGTCGTACATAGCAGGAATATTCTTATAATTTCTTTACAGATGGTAGTAAGAATGAATTATCTTGGTGATACTGTGGAATCAAAATTGACAAGAAGTATATCTTGATTGGTGCTAGATACATCTTTAATTGATCTGATGCGAAATTGATTGGTTCTTGGTTTTGCTTACAATTTATAACTTGACCATACCGAGGTACAAGTGTACAGATGGCCATTTTTTTATCATTATTTAAAGTTCTTAAAGTTTAGTCGCCTCATAATCAAACTTCAGATCTTCACACAGTTCAAATTCAGACCTGTTGGCGGAAGTAGGCTCTGACAGACCCTAACTTCAGACCTTCGGGTATAAAGTTATAGTCCGTTTGGCCAAACTGCAAAAATAAGCTTATTTTGAGAAGTTTTTTTTCAAATGTGCTTTTCTCAAAAGTACTTTTGGTGAGAAACAGTTTGTGTTTGGCTAATTAGTTTGAAAAACACTTCTGAGCAGCAATTGGTGTTTGGCCAAGCTTTAAAAAATTGCTTCTAAGTGTATTTTTCTCAAAAGTGCTTTTCAAAAAAGTGTTTTTGGAGAGAAACTACTTTTTTCTGCTTCTTCAAAACTGCTTCTGCTTCTCCTCAAAAACATTTTTTTCTTTCCAGAAACTTGGCCGAACACCTCAATTTTTGGCCAAAAGTGCTTTTGGCAAAAAAAAAAAAAAGAAGCACTTTTGGCCAAAAATAAGATTGGCCAAACAAGCTATTAGTCTTTGGTAGTTCAAAATTCAAACCCGAAGAAAATGGCTCATTTGATTCATGATCCATTTCTTATAACTGAAGAAGAACTGTTGCATTAAACTATGCACGAGATGGTTCATTTGATTCGTGTTCCATCTCTTATAACTAGCCACTTGAGAATTACATCTTAAATTACCAATCAACTCATCTTCGGCTGTGTGCTAGCAATCTAAAGGATTACTTAGAAAATGACTAGTAGTAGCAGCAGCAGCAGTAGAGCAATACAAAAGGAGAAATCAATTGGGTACACTTGCAAAAGGCAAGTTAGGTTGGGAATATATAAACATATACGTTTTCCACAAAAGGAAAAATGTTATTTTCTCAATAATTTTAAGTTCAATCATCTTGAAATGCTGACAACCGTTTTTTGCTTGCTTCTTGTCTACAGCAAAAAGCACAGCTCGTAGGATATACAAAGAAGTTGATTAGTCCTTTAAGTTGTTACTTTGCGTCTAAACATCATCTCAAAGTTAGGCTTGAAAAGTATATGTCAAAATCGACCTGACCCTTGTTTCATTTTTATATGTTTCTCTTTTGCTCTTTAGTTAGTTGTAATTCCAGTTGTCCATCCTTGACAAGTCTCATCTTTTAGATAAATGGCGTAGCTGAACTACTTTCTTATGCAAAGTGTAAAGAAACAAGAGAAACTGGAAATTGCTGAAAAATTAAATTTTAAAAAAGGGGGCTTCTTATGCTGTTGGACAAATTTAAAACAAGCAAATATTTGGTAATTTTTTTAGCCACCAGACTTGGGGGCGGATGTAACATACTACCGACGGGTTCATTCGAACCCATAAACTGAGCATGAATTTATGTGTAAAAATTTACTAACATTGCAATAACGAGTAGATATGAACCCATAACTTTAAAAATATAATGGATTCAATACTAAAAATCTTAGAAGCTGAACTCATAAAGTTTAAATTCGAAGTCCCTCTGACCAGACTATCTTGAGCTCACCAATCAATT